GTGTTCTGACTTCAGACGAGCAAACTCAGCCTGCTCCTGGCGTATTCGTCGCAACTCTGTATCTCTGCGGCTAAGTTGCTGAGTATTCTCATCTTGCTGTGCGCGTACACGAGCCAATTCAGCATGTAGGTTGGCGTTTTCCCTTTCAGTTGCATTCGCGGCCTGGTCGAACTGTCGTCGAAGCTGGGTAGTTTCTTCCCGGTGCTGAGATTGGTCGTGATCGAGCTGATCACGCAGTGCCTCGTTCTCTGAACGGAGTGTCTCAACTTCCTGGCGAAGCTCCTCGTTCTCATTGCTCAGTACACTCTTTTCGTTCTTGAGCTCTTCACATGTCTGGAAAGCAACACCAAGCTGGTTTGCCATGCTCTCCTTCTCGGTGTTCAAACGCTTCTTCTCGATTTCCAGAACAGCAACTTTTCGGTCGGCACGATCGATCCTAGTTCGTAGTGTTTGCACTGTAGCGTCGAGTCCTAAAAACAGTCAATATTACTATGAATCTCCAGACTTCTTGTCACTTACGCGTCTTTTCGATCTTCCAGCTATTCTTTCCAGCATCGGAATCCTGGGCACTGTCACTTCGACGTAGCTTCTCCTGGGCCTGTGCTGTGGCTCGCAGCTCGATCAACTCGAGATCCTGCTCTTCAATCTTCTTCTCTTGTTCCGCACGCTCGTGCTCCATCTCTGCAAGCTTCTCCTGCAGCTGTTGAAGTGCGGAAAAGATGGCCTTTTCCTCATCGGGAATTGGAACTCCCTCGATAGGAAAGTATGAGGGCCGGCGACCACCGTTTGGTGGGGCAGAAAAGCGTGACCGTGAAGTCGTTGTCTTTGAGAAGACTGGGGTACCATCGTCAAAAACACCAGAGACCAGCTCGGTGAGGTTAGGAAGATCTGGAAGGATAAATGATTGGCCAGTCGCGTTTTGTGTGGTATTTTGCCTTGAACGAGGCGTTCCTTTACTCTGCAGGGTATCGGCATTGCCGTCAATCTGAAGCGATGCCTGGCGGCTGCGGTTGCCCCAACGCGAATTCTTGGTAGAGTCAATGGTGACTGTGGGGGGTCGCTGGTCCATAAACGACGACTCATCTTCAGACAACTTGGCGTGCAGCTGTGAAAGAGAGTTGCGCTTGCGGTCCTCTTTAGCCAGAGCTGGTGAGTTGCGCTTGCTCGAAGGGCGAGGTGATATCGTGTCGAGGTCGTTGCGGGAGGCGCGTCGGATTGCCGCGTCGCGTCGAAGGCTGCTTGTGTCTGCCATGTGCGATTTACGCGACCTGTTGGTGAGGGGTGTCATGTCGTAGAGGCTGTTGAACGGCGAACTAATCTTGCTAGGTGTACCGCGGTTGCTGCGGTTACCACCACGTGCTTGCTCGACAGCCATGCTTTCCTCGTCGGAAATGGAGTGGTCGAAGTCGAGGAACTCCTTATTTACCATGGATGTGTCAGGCTGGATCTGCTCGGAGCGGAAGGGCGCCCAAGCACTCTGCTTTTTCGCGGTGGAACGAATGCGGGGGAATTTGGGAAGCGTGTTTGTGTCGTCTACAATGTTGTGCTGTGTCGAGTGGACAATGTCTGGGTTGTCCCAAAATTGGGATGTGTCAGTGCCGCCGAATCCCGATCGCTGGGTGGGATTCGAGTCTGTTGGCAATGGTGATGGTGACTCGATGTTTCTTGGGCTGTGACTTAGGCTGCGAGAAAGTTCGCGGATTGCGCGTGCTTTCCCGTCGCTGGTGGGAGGAGAAGACTGCATGTCCAATGTGTGAAGCTGCGATGGCAGCGTTGGTGTTGCGGATGATCAAGGCGCGTCGTAGAACACGTATATAGGGACAAGAAGAGATGCTTCGTAAAGATTAGTGAAGCTACACGCTGTCGTGTCCAAAAATGCCAGCCCAAGGGAACAAGATGGCTTGGGAGCGCGTGTTGGTGTTGGAAGGTGCAATGCAGTGTCGCAGATGAATGAAGCGGGAGGGCGTGTTTACCAAAACAACGCTAACGCATCCAAGCCCCACCCACGCCCAGTCGGCCTTGATTGGCCCTCCAGCCCCTCTCCCAAAGAAGGCGTGCAACATCGTCATCAGCGTCGCGCGGGCACGTGACAGCGCTGCGAGAAGACAGAATATGGAGAGTGAAGTGGCTTGATTGTTTTTTTCTCGTCGCTATGATACGGTCATGCATAATTTTATTGGAATCAATCCCACCGCTAATATCTTGCACAAGTCCGCACTCCCCATGCATAGCCTCAGAGGGCGTCCCAGACCATCCCTCTCTTCTCACAAAGTTTATCCCACCTCAATGTCGTCCCCAGCACAATCACGTGCAACAGTAAAAGCAACAGTGACGCGCCTAATCCACCCAGACTAAACTCTCTGCCCATGAGCCGTCCAACCCAGCTCACGTGCAAGAAATCAATCGATGCTAGACAGAGCAGCGGGTACAGAACGCGAGCATCGGCCGCAAACGGTTGACAGGGTGAAAGAAGACTAAACGCCTTTGCGCAAAACAAAGTCACTTTTGTGAGTCCAAGCGCCACAGGGTGCCCGGATGCTCGATACAATCTTGACACCATGTCAGTTGGTGTTGGAGGGGGCAACATGAGCCGCTGCGGCGACGGAGTTCTTTCGGCTGACGACGATGGGGGCCGAAGATCTATCTTCCTTCTGAGAATGACTGCCCCATCCCCAGACGATTCTCTCCGCATTGCCGGTGTATCTGGTGGACTGGGCGACCGGTCCATGACCGTGGCACTGAGGTTCGATCGCCCAGGACGGGCATAGTTGACCGAAGTGCGCTTTTTGCTCGCTTGCGTCGGAGCCGGACTGGGTGTATCCGCACGGGATATGCGAGGGCTGAACTCGTCAACTGCGGGTGAGTTGGTATATGTAGCGTACTCGTCGAACACCAGCGGCGACTTGAGTACTTGCAAAATCTCTTCGGCGCCAGGACGGTTGTCGGGGTCGAGGGCAAGAAGCCGTTTGAGTGATCTGTACAACTTCTCGGGCAAGTCGGAGCGCACGCGCTGCTCGTCGTCTATGCCGGTCCATGTCGAGATCTCGGCTCTCAGCTCATCAAGATCTTCGCTGTCCTCGTCGATACCATCGGCGTTCCGATACGGCAGTCTTCCAAAGCACATGAAATAAACAATCATGCCAAGAGAGAAGATGTCTGATTTGGTGGTAAAGTTGCCGAATGCACCCCCTGGTTGCTCTTGACGGAGCACTTCAGGCGCACAGTATGAAATGGTTCCAGTAGCACCCGTCGAGTTTCTCGTTGTGTTCATCGACTGTACTTCGCCAAAATCACTGACCAGAACCCGTACTTTACGCCCCGTCTGGTGGAGTAGGCAGTTACTTGGTTTCAGGTCTCGATGAATATAGCCATTTGCATGAAGGTGGCTTAGGCCGGATGTAATGTCCTTGAAAAAAGAAATAATCTCTTCAAAAGGCATCTTACGCGGCCCATGCAGGTTCTCTGGTTCTTCCAGCTGGCCTTTTGATCTCCTCCGGAGCCTTTCCTTCATCTGTTCCTTTGTGACTGATTTTTTTGCCGAGTCGAGAATGTAGCTGTGGAGGTCTCCGCCATTACAGTACTGCTGCAGGATGAAGGCGCATGGCACGCTCGGTCCAAAGCTCGAAATCTGATAGTCTTCGAGCCACACATGACGGTATGATACCAAGTTTTGGTGCGATAGGGTTTGCAGGAGCTGAACTTCGACTAACACCTTCTCTAGCCACTCGTGGTCGTCACCCACTGGCACGCGCTTGCACGCAAACTTGCCAAGTTTGACCCCGTCGAGCTGGTGCTGCACCAACAGGACGACGCCTTTTCCCCCTCGACCCAACTCGCGCTCCTCTATGAAGAAATCCTTGAAATAATTCGGACTAAAAGCCCGCGCTGATATACCCTGGCTCCTTTGCGGCTGAGCCGGTGTGCTTGCTATAAACTCGGACCTTGGAGGTGCACCAAAGCTAGTCATGCGCGAAGGCGCAGGAGCTAGTTGTTTATGCGGTGACGGGGGTCGCGACGTCTCAGCAGATGTGGGCTGACTGCGGCGGAGCATCTGGAAGTATGCCGGGTTGACGAAGCCATTGTCCGTGGAAGTGCCTGGCGCATTGTGCTCATGCTCGTCGCTGTCGTCGCTGCCGTGTGGCGAGGGTGGGCGGTAGGCTCGGTGACAAAAAGGACATGCTGTGGAGTCGATGTTGGTTGCGTGCGAAGCGTCACGCAGAGAGAGCTGCCTCGAGTTTTGGTCGTATACGACGACTGCAGATCCGTGACGCCTGAAGACAGTGTCAGTGTCGGCTTATTGATTGTGGTGATATACGATGCGTCGATTGATGTAGAGGGATGGCAATGACCTACAGGACAATTTCCCGCGACTCGGCCGGACCATAGGGTATGAGGGACATGATTTGCTTGACCAGACAGCGCAGCCAGGCGCGCAGTGGTGTAGACAGGCAGTGAAGGCACGTCTGACTGAGGCTACGTCAACAGAAGGCCGACGTAATCGCCCTGACCGGAAAAACGCTGATATGTGTCGTCGCACCACTTTATTGCGACTATGCGGGGAAGCTACTACTGCTATCTATACGACAGCTATGGAAGCTCCAGAGCGTCAGTCAAGGCAGTACCAGTGCGGGATGCGAACGACTTCGCGAGCGGCTTCTAGGCTGAACATGACCGGTTGATACCAATAGCGCTGATTGTTGTCATGACATGGTGTGTTGTTGTTTGGACAGCTTCCGTGTTTTGGTGGGGGTCAAAAGTGTGGAACGGGTGGGCAAGGGACCTCCCAGCCAGATACCCAGAGCCTCCAGGGTTATCTCAGCCTAGGGTCCGCTGTCTCTACACCGCTTACCAACATCACAACCCTGGCGCCGCCCGGCAATGGCTTGTTGTTCTTTGTTATTCTTGAATATTCTGTGGTTCATTGGTACAGCTAGCTGGACAAGCATCTGTCATCCCTCGGTCGACTTTCTACCTAGCGCTCCAGACATTACTTAACCCGCTTACAGGTGGCTCTTGAGCAGCATGCCGCCCTCCCACACCTCGCCCTTCTCCAGCTTTTGCCAGCCATCCACCGCGCCAACCTCCACACACACCATGTTCTTGTAGCCGTCATCGGGCGAGAAGTCGCCCATGGCCTTTGCCTTCTCAATCCACGGGTTCCATGTGACCGTATCCTTGACGTTGTCGCGAATGACGTCGAAGCGGGGCTTGCCGTCTTCGACAATCGACGTCGTGTCCTGCTTGATGTCCTTGTAGACGCGGTCGACCTCGCCGGTAATCTTGAGCTGGTTATCGCTCTGCGTGTGTATCGACGCGTTGAGGACCTTGTCAATGTACTCTGTGCCGGCAAGGCCAGTAATCACAACCTTGGAAATGTCTTGAATCTTGAAGTAGGTGTGCAGCAGGAATTGGAACTCGAAGCTCTCCTCGCCCTCGTTGCGCACAGTGAGTACAGCTTGTAGGCTGTCCTTGCTCAATGTGACACTGTATACAAGGCCAAAGTCGAGGGGCCATGCCTTGCGCGACTCTTCGCTGAGTGCCTGGCGATCAAGGCCAAAGTCGAGCTTGACAGAGTTGGAGTCGAGAGCATCTTCGGCTGTGGACTTGCCCATGAACTCCCATCGTGATCCACGAGCGAAGCCGTGCTGGGGAAGCGTGGACGTGGGGTGGCCTTCCTTGGGTGGTGGGCCGAAGACCTGACGACAGTTGTTAGCCACTCTCACCCGTCACCACCAAACTCAGCTCTGCATATGCCTACCGGGAACACGACGGGGATTCCACCCCTAACTGGCTTCTTGCCCGTCAAGTCGGCAGCTTCGCTCAGCCACAGATTCTCAGTTTGGCCGCCATTGCTCTTCCAGCTGGTGACTGTGGCTCCATAGAGCAGCACCTCAACACTCTCTCCAGACGGCAGTCTTGCAACCACCTTTTGGCTGCCGGCTTCTCCCACAATGTCGACCTGGGGACTAGGACCAGTAGCAGCGGGCGCATTTAGCGCAGAAGGGCGGTTCGCACGTTCAACCATGGCGACGATGAGACGGTTTTGTTGTTGACGTAGCTCGAGGGAATGCTAGTAGGAGGGCTAACTATGATTATGCTCGACACAGCTTATTTGTCGCGGTGGGGAGTTGATGGATTGCTGGATGAGAAGGGCTGATTAGACGGGCTCGAGGCCAAATAAATAAACCAGGGCAACGTTAACTTACATGCACTAGACAAGAGCGGTTCCGACTTCGTAGAAAGAGAGTTGGTCTGCGGTGAGGGTGAGGGGCAATGAGCGGTGCCCCACCATGCTCTCTGTGCCAGCAACACCAAGCTTCGACTGAAACGCAGCCCACGTTTCAGCCCAACTCGCCTGCACTCGCTTGCCTTGCTTCCCCAGACTCGTCCGCCCACATTACTGGTCGGCCTGCTGATCCAGCAATGGCGACCAGTCTTGCCTGCATATCTGGTGAACCGGTGGCTGCGGGGCGGGCCTGCAGAGGGCCGGTCTAGTAAAGGCCCGCTGAGGTATCCATATCATCGGCCCTAGTCCTGGTGATCAGTGGATAGGATACTAACTACTCCTTGAGTGAGCTGGTCGAGTTGTACACGCAATGTCTTCAGCTCTGGTCAAAGAATAATAATACCGAAAATGGCCTCATCCTCTGCCGATGGACAGCCCCGAGCTTTAGGCATCAGACTCTACTGGCGCATCACGAGTTATAAACATATTTTCCTTCCACCCCTTGGCTTATGCTATGCTCAGGTAATCGCGATCTCATCCCTCTATCTCTGATCTGGACATGGGTGTTTTCTTACTGCACAGATAGTGTTTTTATGGGTACATGAAATTCTCCCATGAACTAGACAAAACCAACAAGCGCCGCAGCAGTCAAGAATGGCATGGTTAAGTCGGAACCATCGGAACGATAGAGCTGGCATTGTTTAGTTGCTTGCTCACATATTCGTAAGCCTGGCTTTCTCTAATATCTTTTTATCAAGATGGCTACAGCAGTACTGTAACTGCAACATCATCCCACACCAAGCTCGACAATGACAAGGTTGGCTGAGAAAATGCACCCAATGAGCAATATGAGAGAACGAAAATCACCATGTTGGACACTGAAACTTTGGAAGCGCTTTGTCAACTTTGGGCATGTGTAATCATCGTGTCAGTTGTCATGCGAATACAACAAACGTTTGCTTGAAAGCATACAGGGCAATGTTAAGTTATGATTCTGTCAATCTGACCTACTGCAAGAACAACAGCCTAAGCAGAATGACTGTAGGCCTTTTATCGGCAGCGTTGCAAAAGATCACCCATGTCCACCTTGAACAAAAACATTACCCCAAACCATACAAAGCCAAAGCCGACACCAAAAATCCATAGTAACCTACCATACCTTATCCTTTCGACTTTTGGAAATCTACAATCACTGCACCACTCTACTCCCACTATACCCATTCCAACACAACCCCCACACTCCATGACAATAATAACAACAATAATATCAAATCAGCCCCCCCCCCCCTCCCGCATATACCCATATGACACACCACACCCCAGCACCCCCAACAAACACGCCCATCCAACCATCGTCAGGGAAACACACACCAACCGACCCAATCACCACAGCAACTAAAGATCGCCAGCAAGGAAGACGTCGCAGAGATCCAGCGAATCAGTGTTGGTACACCTTGCGATATGTCACTAGAGTTATTAGTTTTCCTTTCTTCCATCTTACAAATCACAAACTCATCACATTGACCCTTATATATTTATAGATTAGTAGTAGTATATAACTATAGTTATCTTACATTCATCCATAATAATAATCTTGGTTCGAGACTGTTTCTTTTTAAAACTGAGATCTCCTAAGAGTAAAGAAAAAAATCTATCAAATAAGTACACACACACGTGTTCTATTCACTCTACACGCTTTTTCTTTCTTCCAAATTACACCGCAGGACCCTCAAGTTCCTACATGAATATTCTCCGCACCCGCCCCCCCTAATCCAGTAATCCCTTCTCGAACACCGGGTATTTCTCCCGTGTTAATTTTTTCCGAACCAATGGCAAAGAAAAATTCTGAACGATTTGGTTGGAGATTGTACTACGCATGTACCGGGTTTTTTGGTAATACTTAATTGGTAGATAAGTCTTGGTGTGGGAGATGCGATGTGGGGTTTGAAAGGAAGAGGGTACATCGCACGTGAGTAGTTATTACTCTTCGGGGGATAAGTAGTGCAGAGTGGTGATTTGGTTCTGGGTTTAGCAGGTAGAAGATGGATGTTGAATGTCTTTGTTCGTTCGTATTGTTGATCCGGTGGGAGCTGGGGTGGAAGAGGAGAAGGTGAGTTTGGCAGGTGCGCTTGATTAGGATTGGAGATGGTGATGGTAATAGTAGTGTGTGGAGTGGCTATTGGAATGCAAGAAGGAACGGGATGAGGAGGGAGGAAGATGAGTTGGATGTCTGGACTGGATGTGATCATTACTCGCTGATCACATCCAGTCCAGACAAATCACGGTCTTGCGTGTCTATCATTTTCATCATCCAAACAATCCAAAGTAAACTTTCCATCCACCCCCTTATTGTTTCCATATCTAGGACGTATGCAATGCTCTTTCGGCACTACTGAATTGCAGACATCTTTACTCGCCGCGGGACTTGCGCTTTTCACAAGACGTCTCGTACCATTTGAAGTCAGCTGGACATTCTGATAAATCATGAACAAAAGAGGAAGTGGATATAACTAGTCTCTAGCTCTTGTCGCCCACTTCGCCTTAGAACTGTTCGCGCTCATGGCAATTCAATGGACTCGGGGATACTACCAGCAAACCTCCACTTTCAGATTGAGCTAGCAAGAGGGGGCTGGTATCATTGACTATTCTGACAGCGACGAACGACTTGACGCTTCGTCAATCGTATCCACAGATTCAGAGTCATTCCTCAAGCACGACCGATTCAAGAGACGCCTCATTGTGGGGTTGGCGCGTTTGCATTTCCAAAATACCTTTACTCGAAGAAAAACAAACCATTGATGTTACATCCATGCCCCGCGGGGATCGTCGTGTCCAGTAGATGAGATCAGATCAGATGAGATCCGATACGATGCCACGTGCTCCACTCACCAATACTCTGGGTATGTAATCACCCTGACGATCGCTGCAGTCTCCCCAAATCAATAGTTTTGCTTGCGCAAAGAACTCGTTCTTGTAGCAATACCACATCTTACAAAGCACCCGAGTCATCTCCATAGATACTCCGTCGCGGGTCGCGGCTCAGCAGCCCTGCCGGCGATCCTCCCAGGCCCACACCTCGGCCAGATCCTTCCAAATGAAGTAGATCCTTTAAGAGCAAAATGTCAAATGTCAGTCCTAATGCTAAAGACGATCCCGCAAGCGATCCACACATGACGAGGTGTCCCTCCGGGAGCGATCCGAGTTTCTCAGGGTGCCGCGGAGTGGCGCTGTGGAAGTGGCGCCGCCGTGGGAAGATGGGCGAAGACGGTGTTGTGGACGAGGCGTCCGATTACGTACATACTGTATACTCGCTACGCAACGCGACCCACGTACCAGGACATCTGGCCACACGCAACGATGCGACAGCTGTTGGATGTAGCGCCATTACCTTACATAAGTACGTAGGGTCTCGATCCGCGGAAACGGGACTGTCATGTCAGTGCTGTAGGTTACTGGTGGGGTTCGTTGGGTAGCATTCGCGATATGTAAGTAAGGCGGGCCAAGAGGTGTCGAGTGGAGAAGAGAAGGATTGCGGCTGAGGCATTTCCGGGTTTATGCAAAGAAAAAGGCTCCACAGTGGATTCGAATGCGTTTGGTGAGTCGAGTTTCTATGGTGTTTCTAGACAGACTTATGCATAGACACGCATGTTTTTCCTTTCATGTGAAAGAATTACATGTATGCTTCCCGCTTGAACTTTATTCTGTCCCTCTCCCGCGTGGAATGTATATTTTAAGACAGATCAAGGGTCATCTAGTATGAAATTCTTTCGTGTTCCGACGTTGGAGGAGAGGCCGGGTGGCGCTCTGACTCTTGGTGTATCCCAAACACACTTCATGTTGCGCTAGCCAAAACTATGCATCGCGATGCGAAACTCGGTGCGTTAGCATGACGTTGCACGTCGCGTTTGCATGCAATGGCATCCTTGCAAGTGGGTGGCCTAATTATATGTCTGCGAGATCTAGCCGGCGGCTGGATGTTAATATAGTCTTGTCATTCGCTGTCGCACGCTTGGACGTCATCTTGCAACCTGGACAGGCGGCTCTCCAGATTAAGGGGATGATGATGCGGTTGGGGTAGCAGACGCCATAGAAAGTAGGCTGGATAAATCTTCGGGCCGGTTGGTGGGGAAGAAAGTCTAGTTCGCTTCTAGCTTGGCACGATGAGCCGAAGGATCGTCGAGAAATTGCGTGCCAGCCGAGACGAGAAACTCGTACGAAACCAGGTGCTAGTAACCCGAGCGACATCCATTCCACAGGTCGAATGATGGATTGGCTACGCCGGTGATTGCTACCAATGCAGGCTGCCGGCAGGGATCCCGGGTGCGCATTTCTATCCCGAACGGGTTATTATTACCACGGAGTTTTGCACGTCGGAAACAACCCCAAAAGCGTGCAAACCCCAGGCACCGCTAGGTAATGCAAACACGATCGACATGTAGACTGACAACAAGCGGCTATTTCCAGCCAGGATGAATGGGCAATGTAATCGCTCTATTAATGATAAGCCGTGAGGTCTCGTTAAAATACTATATGGTATCACTGTTTTCGAAAATGAAAATAAAATGAAAAAAATATTCAGAATCATCGCGTAGATAGAGGCGCTGCTTCGACAAGCATCTCACTAGTGCTCGCTGTTTCTGCGTCCTTTGCTGATGAAGAATCGTCCCAGTGGGGATTGGCGGTTTGTGTCTTCCATCCGCTCAGCTGTACACCCTCGGAACCTTCTACTCGTACGTGTATATCGGTGACAACCTGAATGTCGCGTGTTTCATCGTTGGATTCCCGCGACCGCTTCGTGCCATCCAGAACGTATTCATTCTTTGAGCGTAGTATTTTGCTGCCTCCCTTGCTTCCATAGGCTGCCGGGTAGTTGGGTCGCGAGTATTGGCTGCGGTGTCGGGAGGGGAACGCTCTGGGAAAGTACTTCGCAAGTAGGGGCCTCAGCAGTGGCAGGCAGGCGCAAATAATTCCAACATTGGTTTCTACCGAACTCCAGGTCGCCGCGGGTGGATTGTCGTAGGTTTGATCTGAAGAGTTCGAAATCGCAACAAGAGACTGCAAGCGTAGAATCGATACAATGCACACACTACAAAATCTTGCGTTAGTATAAAAAACAAACGTGACACTAGGTTCAAGGGCATGTGACATGCACGGGTACCAGCAGGTACACGCGAGTACGAAAAAAGGCAAAAGAAAACCACTTACAATCCACCAACTGCAAAGATGGAAATGAGACCAATCTTTTGTCTCTTTCCCAGGTTGAGACCGCGAATGACGGGAATTGGCAAAAGAATGATTGCGAAGTCGGTCAGGATATTGATAGCGGCATTGGTGAACCACATGGCGAATTGGTTGATACACGAAGCCTTTTCCTTAGTCCAGAATGCCCTAACAGGTATGCAGGCAAAGATACTAGAGAAGACTGTCCAGATGGTGTAGCAGATGACGACGGCCATGGTGATCCAGTTTGCTATTTGAAAGGCCTTTGTTGGGAAAATTCGCCGGTATTGAAGCAACATGGATCCTTTGGTCAATCCAAGAGAGAGGTAGTAAACCATTAAACTGCACCAAAACGCCTGTGATGGCTGATTAGCAAGTGCTGAGGAGACGGGAAATCAAAAGTCCTACCCTCAAAAAGATTCCCATATCATGTTGTGGAACATCGCGAAAGTGCTTCCCCATTCCATACTCTGCTTCTGTTGAGGGTCAGTCTTGATACACGATGTAAGTCACGATGCCTACGTACGGATACCGATGCAGATGGTAAGCCCTATTGAGCAGAGCTAGCAATGGGTCAGCAGATGTACCTAGCGGTTGAGACATCAATCCATCAACTTACCATGGCCAGGGCAATGCCCAGGTCTTCGACTCCTGCACATCGAAGAATGTAGAGCCGGGTATATAGTCGGAGGATGACGATGATGAGAGCGAGACCAGTGAAGACGGAGGAGATGATTACGGCCTCACGACCTCGTGAGTTTTCAGATAATGATCCAGCCATGGTGTGATGGTACAAGCCACGAGGCGTCCGGAGAATCGAGTTGTTAATAAGCCCTGTGGGGAAGGCATGAGTATTTTACCCTCGAGTCCCTGAGGCAAGGGTAGCGTGAGAGCATGGTTAAAGGACGTTCCATGAGCGTCCTTAAGCACGTTCCCCGCTTTCCAGGTACCCGCTTGACGGGAACCTTTGCCAATAGTTCCGTGATCCCAACGGATCGCAGGCCTGCCTGAAAAGTTTCCGCGGATCCATGACTCGAAACATGGCAACAACGAGATACTGTGAGACAGTCACAGAAGTTGATCCTAGCACGCCTTGTGTTACATGCCGGGAGCTGCCGGGATCTACAGCAGAATGAAACACCGTGAGCGTCGTGCCTTGGGGGTGGGAATGCTTGTGCACAGTAACTGCACACACACAGTCTCATCCCACCTCACTGCTGTTGCAGTTGCGAGTAAATTGCTTTTTTTCCAACGGGCTACGAGTATGGCATGCCCTTGAACAAGATGGTGTCACCATCCATGTAGGCAGACGGATAAATTGTTTCAGGTGAACAAGTACGAGGTACTTTGTGGTTGGCAAGCCTCTGTGTGCTGCTTGTGCCGTGCTATGACCGGGGGGGTCGGCGTGTCTGCACCGTTGGACATATTACCACTTCTGGGTCGGCTTGAGAGCAAATCGGCACCCGCAGGGATCTGCAGGCAAGTTGGTCGGCGCGAACATACGTATGCAGGAACGTGGCGGGATCTGGAGGATCACAGGAGAGGCCGTATCGAATATGGATGATTCGATTCGTGGATCATGTAAGCGAGCTGCAGGGTACCGTCAGCAGGATACCCATCGCACCGATCAGAAGCGCAGGCCCAAATGAAATTTTCGGAGACGCAGCCTGATTGTCGTAAAGTGCATTTTCGGTCATCCAAATCTCCTGCAAGTCTGGGTGGCCATGCAACCAACTGTGCCATGGTGGTGGGCGCTGGGCATACGGGTATACTTTGTGTAGAATAAGTCCTCTGCTACTCTCGAGCAATGGCTGGCTGAGGCTAGTAGGACCGGCGCATGTAGTAAGTAGAGAAATGGGCTGTTCACCGGTCCACCTTGGTACCCTCTGCCGCTCGGCGTCCAAAGCACCTATTAGAATCATGCGATATACTTAAGGCGCATGGCCCTTCAGCATTGACGGCGCGCGCTCCACTCACGCGCTTCTCCAGCCAAGCACTTAGTCGCCATGCATTAGGACTCGAAGAGGTGAACGATCGATTTGGGGCGACACAAAACGAACAGAAGCGTGATTACGATCCCAGAGGCCTGGTTCCATTTTGCCTATTTCTTCTACCTGCAGCCGACATGAAGACGGCACAGGAGCGGCACGCGAGTCGGACTGGCTTTCCGCGTGTGGGAATGGGCCGTTGGCTGTGGAACAGCTGCTGTCATTGGCCTAACCAAGGCCGGCGGCCGTCGTTTGAGTGTGTAAGTATGTACCAGTTGTACATTGTATTCCCAGCTGCGTCGTGGTTGGGGTCGGTCGTATTCGTCCAGCTGCAGCCGCCATCTACCTGGATTCCCCAGGTTAGACAAGGTTTTCCCACAGGTCTCTACTCCACCACGTGGAATCTGAGTGAGAGCATAAGCTTGGTGAAGTCGTCATCTGTCAGAGTCTGATATTGAGATCGTCTATGTTGCCATGTCGCCCAACGTACGACGACGACGAAGAGCGACAGTGGACGATAGGGGTCGCAGGGGTCTCCCAGACGCTAGTCCGCTTCTGCCGCGCACTATGCCCCTCACGTGAATGATCCTCACTTCTCCACACCAAAAGAGTCTCACAGATCCCTAAAACGTGGCAGCGACGATGACCTGGCTGCCGTGGACCGAAGTGTCAATCAAAAGTGGGCTGCGAGCCATGTCCAGCAATCGTTCTCACGGGCCAACGGCCTCACAACCACACGGCCTCGGGTGAAGATCTCTCCTTGCCACGCTCGCCAACGCTGACATGAAGTACCGCAAATCCGAATATATCCGTCTTGCCTGGGTCTAGCACACTGCCAACACTACTGCGCCTCGCTGAAACCCTTCTTCATACCAGCACAGCTTCAGTCGCCTGGACTTTTTCGTGGCGTTTCACCGGGGAATGTCTTCGCTTGGCATTCCGCCTTACCCCCGGCCCTCAACACCATCAACCATGCGAAATGCCACTTGATGTCGGGCTTCAGTGCAGGTGTGTGCGACTTTGGAGAAGCAAGAAGGCCCGGATATGTCTCATACCATCGAGTCAGAAAGGGCGCAGTACAAGACTTCTTGTCATGCTACAAACACGTCTCAGACAGGAAGACATGCAGTCTATTACAATTAGGTTCACTAACGGGCCAACGTCTTCGCGTATAAACCAATGTCACTCCTACCATACACTGCGCTATATTATTGAGTTCTCGTATTCTGATGGTGTGGTTCAACGCTATGCTATTGCTGCCCTAC